CCAACTTTTGAAGGAATCGCCATACTGCTTTCCACAATGGTTGTACCATTTTACAGTCCCACCAGCAGTGTATGAGAGTCCCAATCTCTCCACAACCTTGCCAGCATTTGTTTGTAGTGCTGTTTTTGTCTTTGATTTCCACAGAAGCTTTTCATATATGAGAAAAAAACAATTCTTTGTCATACATTTTACAAACATTCTTCAAGCTTGCCTAGGCAGTCCCCAGGTTATGAATATCTAACTGATGGACAGCTCCCACTGGCCCTTTAATGCAGGGCTTCTTCCTGGTTCTGTCATGGCTGCTGGAGCAAAACAGGAGCAGATGGGCCTTTGGTGGTTTGGGTGGTTCATTGTGGTAACCAGAAGGGGAAAAATGACAGGTTGGTGCCCTGGAACAGGAGCCTCCGAAGAGGCATAGTGAGTCCTTGTAGGGACCTGATGCCAGGAGACTGGAGTGTTGATAGGACTACGGGTTCAAAGCAGCGTGGTCAGCCGCCATCTTTGAGTGAGGCTCCACCATCTTGAAGCCTGTTTTATTATGTAATTTTACCTCCCCATTTTTAAACAATTGAACTAGCCTCCCAACTCACAACAGATTCTATTTCACTTGCTGCATGGGCAGCTGTTAAATCACTGAAAAGGCTTCGAGGCTTTTCTTACACTGAGTAAGGCTGAGTAAGAATCGTGTGTATGGACTGCTTCAACTGACCTACAGATTCTTGAGATCATGGTCAGAGACGGCTCTCATTTGTAAGCTGGGACTGCCTGTAGTTAGTCTTTTGTTTGTTTGTGGTGCTTCTGAGATATAAAACCCTTTAATTTTTGGAAGTAGCTGTGGCTTAGAACTCTGACCCTCTCCATGCGGACAGCACACGTACTGCCTCTAACACTTCTATGTGGCATTTCACTTTTAAATTCCTGATCATTTGAAATTTGCGTTTACACATGATGTCACATAGTCGACCTGGCTTTTTCCATAAAGCTTTTCTAAATTGAGTCATTTATTGATTGGTAGAATTTTTTTCCCTGAGCATTTTTTTTTTTAAATTTGTATTATGTTTTAGGTGGAAGTTTACAGAGCAAATTCATTTCCCATACAGCAGTTCATGCACATTTTGTCTCATGACATTGACGGCAATTCCCCGTAATGTAACAGCTCCACTCCCACTTCCTCCCCATAGTTACCTCTTCCTGTATCCTTCCCCCCCATGCACCCCCGCCCCCCCCCCCAAGCTGTCTCTGTGCAAACACAGCCCTTCTGTTCTCACATGATCAATCTCTCCAAGAAGTGTATCTACCTAATGTAAATGTTTACCACGTATGCCTGTTTCGTTTGACTATAAATCATAGGAATGGGTTCAATTCCAGATCTGAAGGGCAGCTAGGGGCTGTAGTCTCAGGGGGTTCCACCAGGCTCTATCAGACCAGCAAACCTGTTTTTATTTTTATTTATTTATTTATTTAAAATGATTATGAGTTTTGTTCCACATTATTTTCTCGCTCTCTTCAGGATCTCCTGCACTGATCCCCCTCCAAATCGCTGACAGTTGTAGCTGGGCACCATCTAGTTCTTCTGGTCTCATGGTCATATAGGCTGAGGATCGCAGGGTGTGCCAGTCCCTTGGACTAATTGTTTTCACAGGTCTTTGGTTTTCTTCATTCTTTACTCTGGATAAGGAGAGACCCATCGTTGTGTCTAGATGGCCACTTTCAAGCTTTTAAGATCCCAGTTGCTACTTACCAAAGTAGGATGTAGAACAATGTTTTGTATAGTGTGTTATGCCAATTGAGCTTGATGTCTCCTGCAACCATGGTCCTGAGCCCACAGGTTCAACTACTCACACCCTCCAGCTCCTGTGGCCAAGAAAGTTACCACAGCCTTGTCCCTTGTCAGCTCTACCATATACCTGGACATTCTTAGAGAACATACAAACATGCTTGTAGAAACATAATCTGCCAACCCTATACATGGTCATGGGCACACTACCCCCCCTGCCTTAACATACCTGATCATTCAGACTGTCCACCCATCTGTCTACCTGTAGATCAGTATTTGCCATCACTGACA